CCGGCCTTGATATGGAGATTTCTCACTTTCCATCGGCCGCTCACCTGGCGATGGACTCTTCCGCTTGGAGCGCTGCTTGCCAGCAACCTTCCAGTCTTCCTCTGGAATGGTTGGCATAGGCAGCTCCGACGGACTGGGGGCCCTCACAGCTGGCACCACCTGTTGGGCGCTTCTCTCTTCTGCCTCCTGGGCCCGCTGCTTTTGCTTCAGGAGGCGGTCACTCAACGCCTTGACCTAGTCTTCGGCGGAGGTTTTGGCTTCTTGTGCCTCGCGGCTCTGCTGCTTCGCCTTCTTCATGGCCAGCTCTTTCTCTCGAGCTTCTTTCTTGGCCTTGTTGACGGCGATCTCCAGCGAGGCGATCCTCTCGGCGGTCTCTTCATCCCGCTTCGCTCTCGCCTTCTCGGCCGCGGTATCCGCCATCTTCTGCAGGAGCTCTTTGATACCAGGGATCTTCAGCAACGTCGCCGCCGCCTCAGTGTCCTGGTCTTGCTCCTGTGTCTTCTCCGCCGCCGGCGGGGTATCCACTTCTTCCATCGGCTCATCTTCTGTGCGGGTGCCGATGTGGCTGTGGAGGGTCCAGCCATGTCCTCCCGGACTGTTACACCTCCTGGCCCATCCCGGGCTTGTTCAGTTCCTTGCCCATCCCGGGCTGTTTCGATCGCCTGCCCATCCCGGGCTTGTCCTTCCCCCTGCCCATCCCGGCTTGTTCCTCCGATTCCTCAGCCTCCATGGAGGAGGCCGGGGAAGGGCTCCGGCGTCTCGTACTCTCGCGCGCTCCCAGGTGGAAGCGTGGCCGCCACCCTCAGGCGGCTCCGAAACCAAATGTTACGAATAGGATGTGGGTGTGGGGTTCCTGCCCTCTTTGAGCCGCGGACCCGCCTCGCCGGGCACCTAGGTCCTTACAGGGCACCTAGGCGGGACCACCCCTCCTACTCCCGTATCCTAATATGGATAAAGGTTACAGTGGGTGAGGAATAGTACGTGCCTTGAGCAGGGCGTCCCCCACACCAAGGGCCGTTAGTAGGACGTCTCCCACATCAGGCTGGTGCGCGTAACAATACAACAAAATGTACTTTGGGCGCTCTCCATCAACCTCCTATTATGGGCCCGGAGGAAATGTGATCAATGCGCAGGGCACCCCCCATTGTTAACGATTGGGGGATGGGCACTTCTTTTTATAAATACATAGACTGTTGATAACCTCTATATCCAAGAATGTGTATATGACCAATACTCTCCAAATCCATCATACACTCAAGTCATCATCAACCCATGGAACACAACAAATATAGATCATCGGTGCTAGCTCTACCCGTCACTGCTAACCATCATGCAAGTGAATAGGTTTGCTATCCTCTATAACCATCCACTAATATGGACCTTGTGTTCTTGTACCTGAAAACGAGGATGCTAAGACTGGAAGCTATCTCCTATCCTTTGGGTCCCTGCTACATCTAGCAATGTCTAGCTACTTTCCCCTGGGGTGCATCAACCATCCTTGGTGATATCCATATGGCTCACCGCTAGCCGAGTACTCACATTCTTCAATTACCGTATTTACCCGGTATTAGTAGGCACCTCCTATTAGTATCCACCCCCCTCTTTGGGGGTCGAAACCACGTTAGTATCCATGAGCCGCTGTTAGTATCCACCCCCAAACAGAAACGAGCGAAGGCATGAATGGTGGCAAGGGAAGTCGGCGACTGGTGTTGGACCGCGTTGCCTAGTCTAGACCAAACCGTGTTCCCCTACGATTCGCACATCGACGGGAACGATCGGGTCGGCATGGATGCTATTGAGGGAGAAATTGAAAGGGGCCCCATGGAAGGCCGCATGGTCGACTGGCCACCGTTGGCACTCTCAGCGCAGGATCGCAGGGCATCGACCGATGCCCCGGGGCCCAATCCAAAAAGCTGTCGAGATATCAAAGCCGCCCTGCTTCTGGATTGAATTAACCTACTCCCCGGCCGGCCAGTGTAGGTTCTGGCCTGCCACCTGCCAAGGGCGCCCCAAGGCCTAGCGCCAGGAATGGGTAGGCGATGGCTTTGGTGGGGGCGGCTGCCGTTGTGAGACCCTACCTTTCAAAATTGCCCACAAAACGCTGCCAAGGCCGGGCCCATCCCCAATTCGCACATCGCACTAGGTACCAGGCCACAAACACAGTCGCAGATCACATCAACCTTTGCAGCTGCCATCAACCTGGGAAAGCGCCGCGTTTCAAGCTTATAGTTGCAGCGTTGCACCCCAGCGAGTCGAGACCCGTGTCGGTCCTTGTTCTTTGCATTGCAGAGGAAAACGCGCCTCGAGCATTCCAGCGAACTCCTATTGGCCCCAATCGCCAGTTGCCACCACCTAGTGCAGCCCCAAGTCAAGGCCGCCAGCTCCCGTGAAGAGGCTAACAACAATCCACACTAGCATTGCTATCCTTGCCCATTTCTGGGCATTTCACAGCCTATTTGTCAAAAATTTTCTCTGTCTACTCTTTGGGATTAGAACTGAGTTCCACACAATTTGATTGTCGATTGCAACTGTGGTTTTGACGTGCCAGCAAAGATTTCAGCTCCGGATCGGAAACGCCAAAATCAGCGAACATCACAATCATGGAGTTTTGAGAATCAGCCGGCCCCATGGGTATGGTTGCTATAGGCACTAATATAACCACAAAGAGTTTGGAAGAATCTGATCGTCACTTCGTTGCGTGGCTGTCAACAGATTGCTAGACATGCCCGTGTTGTGCACATGTTGCAAGCACCGTTTATGCCATTTTGAAAGCTGCGCCATGCCAAATTCTTGTGAGCACCATCGGAAAATGCAAAGGGCACAAAGCCAGGAAGATTCGAGGCTATGAAATAGCACAACACGAGCGGATGGCCAACTGCCACTCATGCTAGCCGGAGCAACGAGCCTGAGGCCGCGCACCAGCAGCAGCAGCCAGCCTGCAGCCATGGTACGCGGCGACGCGGAGGGCGCTTAGCTCGCACCGAGCTGGGCGCCAGGATTTTTTGGTCACCCACCTGCCCACGACCTGGGGTGGTGTCAGGAGAAGGGAGGGCCCCTAAGGCCTCTGGACCGCAAGCTCGACCCTAATGGGGTCTGACGGTCCGGCTAGGGGCGCTCAGATCTAGTTGACGCCACTTCTAACCTCTTTCCGGTATGTAGGGAAAGGGGCAGGACCGCAAGGTCCGCCCCCGACCCCGTGCCAGGGCTTATGGCAACCCGTGAAGGTCGTAGCAGGTGTAACCCGTGACGACGCAGTCATACGGGTAAGCGATGAATGGAACTACGAATATTGCGCGACGGCATCTATGGCAGCATTAATTAAACAATAAAGACATTAGTTGTGAACGACCACTGCAGAGCTGCATCTGAGCCATTCGCTTGGTTGATGGCAATAATGCTAATATTGGCATCGCATGAAGGTTGTCATGTGAAGCTTCTTCTGATCCTTCGAAGCTTTGGTTAGTTGCCATACCCATGAGCATGCAGCTCACCTGCATCTTGCAAGAAAGGCACGCCAAGAGTTGGAGATGCTGGAACCAGTTCTGGGCGCAGGGACTCTTGCATCTCCTTTGATTGATAGAGTAAGACAGCAGAAAACGCATCATCTGTTGCCCAGTTTTGCAATATTGCGCAAGGTTAATGCAACTCTCCACATCCTGTGACGGCTGCCACAAATGATGTTTGTTGGGTACAGTTCACGTACACTACGGCTGAATTAATGGTGCAGAAGTGGGCATTCAAGAAGTAGCAGTTTTGAAGTTCAACGATAAATTTGCGGATGGGACTGCTTTGCTGGGGACGCTGCTATGCGGATTGCAGCTGTTAGGCCTAGTGTGAATTGTGCCAGGAATGCTCTAACCGAAGATTGCGACATGACTATTCGATCGCCATGAGTGTGGTTGTTGCTGTGGGTGTAGTTGCCTTGCACGCAATATGTTCGAGGACAGTTTCGGTGACTGACTGCCTATTACAACACTAGTAATTGCAAAAATTGTGATAGCCGGGTGTGGAAGAACCGGGATTCTGTGTCCCTTGTCAACCACAACATCTTCGTGCCATTTGCGGCCACAACGTGGCCAGTAGAAATCTTCCTTCAGCATAAGATATTTAAAATATTGATAAGTGCGAGAAAACAATACTGTCCACATAAATCAGCCTTATTCAAACATTTTCCGATAAAATGAAATCCCCTATTCCTGAAAACCGCGAATTAACCACCAAATCATCAGCTCCATGTCCCTGCCACCCCGCATTCCATATAACATCTGCCCATTCCCATAGTGCACCAGTCATCCCTGCCACCCTTCGAAGGAGTGCCACACAGCCGCGAGATGATCCCTAGATCGGCCGTTGGAAGTAGCTGCTTCCTCCTATAGGATGGATCCCGGGGTTTTCTTTAAGCTCATCTAATTCTTGACACACGAGCTCTCGGCCAAATGATTCGTCTCCACATGACCGTTTCAGTTCACGTGCCCCCAGATTTTCTCCACCCGAAGCAACACAGCTGGCTGGTTGTAGGGCGGTCGGGATGGAGGTTATTCAGCGCCGTGCAGCCTGCCACCATTCCAATTTTCTTTCTTGCCACTAAGGAAGTTCGAAGTTCAATTCTGGGTGTCTTCCGTGCTGAATTCACCAGAGCCGAAGTCAATTCCGAAAGCCCGGCACCTGTCATGGCAAAGCGCTGCTTAGCCGCGTTTCCTGGCACCCGTTGCGACGATATGGCACGCGCTGTTCTTGAGATAAAAACCAAGTTCTTTGTAAATCACAGTTTGTAACTAGAATTCGTTTACAGAACAGACGACAACCTCCATGCTTGAGCGGCCATAGAGCATACACGAAATCTTGTGCGTGCAAGCAGGATATCATCAGGTCTTCTGATGCTTGCAAGACAGGCGTCCATCTTCACATGAACGTGGGTCACACATGCTGTCAAGGCGATTCAGTTCATAAATATATGGACTTGAGCCGAAGTTCACGGCACATCTGGCGAGTGCACGTACCACACAGAGATGGCGTTGATGTCATCCCACGTGACGCCCTCAGGAAGGGTGACATTCACAGGCCTGGAGCCGTCCCATGCACCAAGCGAGCTGGGAATGCCGTCCATGATGAATCCCGTGTCCAGATTCGCCACGGAGTCCGCCCCATACCAGAAGACATCTGGGCCGGTGCCATCGTACCTGCGCAGGACGGAAAGGCAAATCTCTTAGGGGTTTGCCAGCATCAGAAATAGTGCTGTACCCACCAACGGGGGACTTTCCCACTATCGTGACAAAATGTGGCCACCAACAGCGTCCGAAACATAGAACCAACGCTGATTGCTGGACGGCATTGTGCCACGAGCATGGACTGATGGAGGGCATGGTGCGCCACTGGACCCAGCGTCAGCGATGGCTCATGCGGAACTCGACGAGGACACAGGTTGCCCGTTGTTCCCAAGCATCGCGGGGAACCCGCTGTGACGGACACGATACGGTTCAGATACACCGTGCGATCAATCCCAACTACGGTATCGCAGTTTGTGTTGTGATGTATGTCAATCCAGGCTGCGCCGGGCGTCCGCCCACAACCAAGCGGGTGGGTGTGAGCAACCGGCGCTGGGCGCCCGGCTCACGCCACTATCGATTGGGCAACATACTCGCGCTCCGCGGACGGCCACAACTCACGTGAAGTTCTGGACTCCGAAGGTGCAGTCATCCAGGACGACCACCGTGCCCGACACCTGCAGTCACCGCCAGCAGCGGTGAAAGGTCAGCGAGAGCCGTCAGACCCACAATGACGGCAAGGAGTCAAGCGTCTCCAGCCCTCCGAGGAAGGCAGGCCTCCGGCCAGCGCGGTCCCCTGGTCTGATCGACGGGGCCTCAATTGCCAATCGCGCAGAGGGGCGACATCCATGCATGAATGAATGAACGGGCCGCTGCGCCAACCGTCCGCTCAAACGAAACAACACGACTGCGACGGCAAGGGTGTCCCTCGTGCGCGTCTTCATCGGAAACACAAGAGGGCGCTGCGGGAGGAAGGCGCCCACAGGGCGTGCGCTCAACGACAACTGCCCGCATTCCGGTCACGCCAGCCACCGCGCGGTGCAGATCCGGTCCCTGTGCGCAGTGAATGGACAGTATCGGGCAGCAGTGATGGTGTCGGCGTGCGGGCCCGCTGTTCGCCAACAGAAACTGGTCGTGACTCTCCAAGCGAGGCGCACGTTGCCCAAGATGCATCCCGAACTGAAGACGACACTTTCCGTTGCTTTAACCAAAGCGCCTCGATCGGCAAGGAGGCCAGTCTGTTCCAGCCCTGTCCACTGGGCGCGACTGCGGGCCGGACACGCGAACCTCACCTGATGCTGCTTGGTTTCCAATGCGGCCGTCTTCCCGACCTTCCAATGCTCCGCCGTGCAGCCGTCCTGGCCGGAGACCGCCAGGCACGCCGCGGCCAGCACCAACGCGATCAGGGCGACCCTCATGGCTTTCAATCCAACGGGCGAAAGCGCCGCGAGGGTGTGGCTCCGGGCGTGCCGTCGGGGACCGTGGTGTCTGGGCGCGAGAGCGTCGTGAGGCAACCAGCGCCGTGGCTGCATTTATTGTGAGGGTACCCCGCAGGGTCCCCCAGCCCGTGAGATGACCGGTGAGGCGCGCCAATGTATGTCCGATGAGGCAATCGGAGGCCACAACCTTGTGCCGCATCGGCATGGAGCGCGCCAAGCGACAGCATGGCGGCATGCTGTGGGATTGCGCAGCCAGTACGAATGCGCCTCGCCGCGCTGCACCGCCCATGCGCTGCCCGCTATGATGGATTCGAGAAAGGGTTTGAGGAGGCGGCGCCGCGTGAGGCGACCCCACGGGTGGAAGAGATGGCCGCCATGGGCCGCCAATGTACGCCATTGCACGTACAACCTTGTTGCCCCATTGGCAAGGAGCGCACCAGGCGATGGCCTGCCAAATTGTAATGGGGTTTGGGTAGCCATTGCGAAGGTGCCTTGTCGTGCCGCCTGCGTGTCCAAGTGCCCGAATGCTTGATTGACTGACAAAGTCGACGGAGGACTGTGGGAAGGGAGCGCCCGCGGCCCCTCCTCATGCCTCCCGCGACACCAGCACTCAATCAAGGCGCTGTTCTGCACATCGGCCCCACGTCGACTTCGTAACGCCACAGCAAACCTGCTGTCGTTGACAGGTTCTCTGCTGCAGAGAGAGTCACGCCGGGTCACTTGACCGTAACCATCAGCAACTATCAGCAAATGTTACGCATCATACAGTTTGCCAATTATAACTCTCCATGATGCACTTTCGCCTGGGCATTCAAACAAGGCTTGGGAAACGCGCTCGCTCTTATTCAAAATACGAAATAATACAGGTATTGACCCACATGCTAAAATTGTGCTTGTGGTGCAAATGCAACTTAGAACAACTGTATTAAATGTCATTGAATCTGATGAGCTAATTGTGCAAGGTGTGACCTGCATCTCAAGGACTTGTTTCAAAGCGTTATTTTACTTTTTTGCGTTGCTCCGCACAAAAAGGCCAATCGTTGCATTGCTATTTGTATTACTTTCTCCAAAACAAAAGGCCAAGATCTACTGTGCGGAAGTGTTGAATACTGGGTATACTGCCGGATACTGCGGGATTGCTGCGGCGGTTGAAGATGAATGCCATTGTTGCCATATGGCCGGCACCGGATGTGGGCTTGCTGTGTGCCGTGGGAATGTGCCAGTAACTGTTGGGGGGGATATAACGCACTTGCACTAGCTCTGCCATGGGAGGGGTTCAGATCGTTCAACATACGTGCCTAACCAATCCGTGGCGCCATAGATTGGTGGGACACGAATGTTAATCTGTTAAATTTACATGTCTCTAATGGTTCTCGTTGCACTCTAGCTCAGGTGCGACCAAGCGGCGGGCAACTGTCAGTCTGATGCTCTTGTGTGGGTCGATCTTGAGGGTCTTTTGAGCCAAAAAGGGCCTATGTCATCGGATGACATGGGCGCTTCGCAGCGGCAGCGGATTCTGATCAATTGAATGTACATGATACTGACATACATGTTGTTGATATTCCAATTGCGCAAGGTTTGCCGTATCTTTGAAATCACTTTGGGCCAAAATCCAATTACACAAAATATGCTTCCCCCTTCCGGAGATAAATGTCCGAATTTGTTTGAGAGGTTATTTGCATCACGCAATTGCTTGTTTTATGAACATACGACTAGAGTACCTTCCGGAACAGTAATGAACGCCCTCAATTTTTTTAGCGAACGGTGAAGAACAGCGGAGTTGGCAAAAACCTCGAATTTCACCAATCTGGACCAGAATTTGAACCTCATCAGCGTTCAGCAACCACGCCGAAAAATTGCATCCGGGATCCTGCAAAGCCTCGCACAAGAGCGGGGCGACCTCCCTGGGACTCCACGGTGCCAAAAGAGTGGTACTGCCAACACGGCTCATGTGTTAGCCCTGCGATCAGCGTCGATCGCGCTGAACGCCGCAGGAAACGGCGGTTGGGTATGTTCCGGCCATCACCAAATTCTGAAGTTTCGCAGCTTCTTATGCAGAGGATGCGCCTACGTATTAGGAATCTGCCATCGCTAGATGGTTTCTTGTGTCCTGAGACAAACCAGTGAACAACTGCGTGCGTCTGGAGATCTCCGTTCGCCAGGGATCTCCAATTAATGGCCTCCTCGGTGTTCAAACACCTCGGCTGAAACGACACGAATCTCTCTGAATGCGACACTGGAAGTTGTGGGTATACGCTTGGAAGCCCTGGCTGTCTGTATGTTGTTGGCACTTGCGTTCTGCGTGGGTGGCGAGAGAAATCTCTCGGGAGAGTTTGCTTCAAAGGGAAACAGCGCTGCAGATGCAATTTGTGGGAATGCGCATAACAGCCATTTCTGGCAATACTGATCCTTTCACACTGAGGCGACCACAGCCTCCTTCGAAAAATGCCACCGTGGTCTTAGCGCCTATAGCCAACTTACCCATGGCGGCACTGCGTTCTCAAAAAGCCGTGACAGTGAACTCGTCTGAGTTCTGGATCCGCAATTCGCAGGTGATAATCTTGTTTGCCCATCAAAACCAAGGTGGAGCACCACGTTCGAGTAATGCCGAACTCGATTCGGCACTCTCGCTGCTTGGGGGTTACGCCTCATTTGGTATAAGATTTTCCCTTTGGCCACCAAATTTCACTAATCCATTTCATTCAATTAATCAAATCAACAAGGCGCCAGAGTTTCAGCCGGTGTTTCATCGCCATCTATTCTGGTTGCGTATTGTGTTCTAGGTCCCCCATTTGCTTTGTTTGAGCACTGTACAATACAATGTGGTCCTTGTTTCTACCACAGTTGAACGATGTGAGGGGCTCATGGCCTTTTCCCAATGTTGAAGGCCGTGCCGGGGCGGTCGGCACTGCCGTCGACATGGCTATCACCATCGGCACAGAAATCATTGTCAGAATGGGCACGACAAAGAATTCACGCTACTGGCAGAACATTTAGTAAATGCTATTAAGTAGTAGAATGCAAAGGATCCTGTTGGCCGTATACCATAATAATATGGTACACGGAAGACGGTGAGAGAGATAATGGCGTATCAATGTGACAAGAGCGTCGATCTCATGGCCATGAGTTGATTTTCTCGAGCAATTCGCAGGTGGACGAGTTGAATTGGCCAAATTGGACCTTGGACTCCTTATAGGTTGCGCAGGTTGGGAAGGGAGAGAGCCTGTGGAGCGCAGTAGTCAGGGGCGTGGTATCATGCAAGAATGTGGCCGGCGCGGGCATGCTGCTTGTTCACAAAGGGGCGCATGGCGAAAACGCTTTATGGCGAAGAGACTTTGCCCATAGCAAAGCCGTTTTATAAAACGCTAATTAGCTCTAGGCAGCGACGCCGCTGCCTATGGTGTGGCTGATGAGGGACGATGCTTGTCGCGTGCCGGCGACTGAGCTCTCTTGGTCGCCAGGCTGACCATCTGTTGTCGCGCATGGGCTTGTCGAGCACGGAGACCTGGCGGCTGCTCCCGCAACTTATGCGCAAGCGCGGGGAACTCTTGCTTTGGAATGCAGCGTTTCTGACAGGATCAATCTTGCAGGCGGTGTCCCGACGAAATGCTACGTCACAGTGCCGATTTGATGGGCGATCCCCCTCCCTCCGGACTGTATATAGCACTGCACTGTGATCCTGGATTCAAATGCTGTTGAGGCCATTTTGTTAGCCCACCGTCGGAAAAAAGTTGCATATCCTGGATATACATATCCTGGATATGGCCATATCCTAGGATATGGCCTCCATATCCTACTAGTACTGACCCTCACGAAACAGAGTACCGCCCCATGGTGTGGGTGTTTCGCGGTGTTTCGCGAAACACCCGGTACTCAATATTCTGGGCGGTACTCTGATATTAGTACCGCCCCACAATGGGAAATTTAGATTGTGGTCTAAAACATGGAAATTATGTACCATATGATAATTTTCAGCTGTGAACACATGTGGATAGTGGTGTTCACAGGCTTGGTTTCCATCCAGCCAGAAATTATGTTCCATGTGGCCAGTTCCATGTCATACTGGAGGAGGCCCACCTAGCTGACGTCCCAGCACTTTGTCCATGGTAAAATGGTTTTGCAGCGCGGAATTTGCACCGCGACAATTGAACATCAGCAGTTTTCGACTACCGATTTGGCAAATAGACCTAAGTAGGAGTCTGACACTTCTTGAATGACCTCAAACGGGTTGGCGGTAACGAAGATCGTGCTAGCTGATGGCCCAGCGCCCTCTCCGGGACCAATCGCGGCGGGTGCAATTGGCGGTACTTCGTGCGCTTCTGAACGCCCGTGGGCAGGGTAGTTTTTTGGCAATTTGTTGATGCAAATGACAGCGGTGCACGAGGAATCAAATACGCAACATGTCAACGTCTTGACTCATTTTCTGATGGACGATTTTGGGCACGATATCTCGAATCACTGTTGAGTTTTGAGCTCAATGCAATGACGTGGTGCATGCCCACAGCCGCGTACATACTTTGTTGGCTCTGGCGCATAGCCATTGACGACGTTCAATTTCCCTTGGTGTCGGTGAACTTATCCACGCTGTACCTCTGCACGTCATAGCCCCTCTTGGCTCCAGATTTCTGCGTGGCCAGCTGCGCGGGATGATGGCTGTTGCTATGATTTCCCAAACAAGGCTGCCATGCACGTAACTCTAGACTCTTGGGATGCGGACTTACATCTTTGTGCTACTTTCCTTGCCTGCTGCTCAAGCCAACAGCTCGGTATGACGCTGAAAGATGACGCATTTTGGCAGCGCGCAGGCATCCCAATATTAGCAGGCCGCATGCCATCACGATGCATCGGACTGGTGCATAACTACATAAGCTTCTGTCCGTAATCATCATTTGGCCCCACCAATCTTGAAATAGATCTTATTTCAGATCACTTGTTCCATATTGCCCTTGGGCAAATAACGGGATGTGAAGAATGATATGCCTCCTCGCTGGGCATTGTGTTCACGATGCTGAGCATCGGGTGCATCAACAATGCACTTACCGAAGTCCAGTGTCTGGATTTTGGCGGAGCAAGCACAGGTGGTGAGGGGATGGGTGAGGGCAGGGCGAATCGAGTTGGTGGGCTGAGTTGGGGAGGTGTGAATCGTGCTAGCATACAATGATGCCAAACCAATCAAGCACATGGCAGGGCATCCAGAAAACTGCACAGTTTCGCCTGCCAGGCAGGGAGCAGGCACCCTCCAAGCGTAATAGGTGGATGTGCAGCCTTGAATCCTGTTCACAGGATTTGCATGGCGATTTCAGGGGCCAGACTGGGATTGAGCGTGTTGCCAGTTAGTCACTGGCAGTGACCCCACAGCACAGGGTACCTGAGAACAAAACCTTGAACTTGCAAAGGTCTGGCACACTAAAAAGGAACCGTCAAGACCCCTCCCACCCCCCAGTGTTCATCACACCATACTCAGGATCCTGAATCAAGCGCCTGTTCTTTTTTCGCATTCAATTGAACTTTCCATTCGAATTACAAACCGCTTCCCATGTCACCCATCGACCCAGTATTGGATCCTGCCCAGTTCCTCTTGCAGAAATTACATTGCATAGTCGTTGGTGAGCTGAGCAGTAGCCTGTTCCCACTCTCAAATATCACACAGTCGTAAATGAGTTGCTTCAGGGCTTTGGGCCACAGCTGTTGAAATCGATGCCCCACAAGCGATGCCACAGAGCTGAGCCCTCCAAGGTTTCGTTGCCACAGGGCAAGGGGTTGGAGTGGCCCTTGCCGTCCACCACATTCCCACAGCATCGCTCCCATGGAGAACATGCCAATTTTATCGTTGAGCGGCATGTTCTTCATGAGACGGACGAGCAGCACTTCCAGCGCCATGCCTCCTGCAGAAACGCAAAAATAAAGCCATTGAATCTGAGAATCTACTGAACCGCAGAGCTTTGTTTTCCTTGTCTGCATTTTCGATAGAGCAAAGTACATACGGCACTGCCAATCTCAAAATCATCGCCGTGGTAGCTCCATCAACCCCACATTTGAATGCTAACAATCAAGCTACACCGCAGCATGCTGACTGGAAATCGCTGGGGGAGTTTCGATTCAACAAATGACAAGCCAGCCAAGTTGACTGGCAGTGACCAACAAAAGCTCCACTCAACACTTGTTCCCGTAGTGGTTCCCATCATGTTACTGAAAACCTTCACCTGGAGATTCTGAAAATCGGCGATCTTGGCATTCCGCAATTCACTGTCCACAAAAGTGTTCGCAGGCTTCAGCTCGTTGTGCATGACCGAAACCTGGTACAGGTGATCCAGCCCGCTGGCTATGTGTAAGAAATGCTTGACAATCAGACTGGATGGAATGCGCCATTGGAATTTGTCCCCACGTATCACTTCATGTGGGCTCAAGCACCAGCAGTGCTCTTCACCTCTTCAGCAACTTGCATGCTGTGCTCGCCATTACGTTTCCCGCCTTGAAAGTTACCCGGGCTACCATGGCATGACACTATGTTGGAGTGGCTGGGCACCCTGCCCATCTTGTCCAACTCCTGCCTGAAAATGTTCAGCGACCTCTGAGGGCATTTTCGTGGCTAACAGCACTGTTCCATATTGAACCGCCACACACACGTGCTCGTTACTCTCATCGGTGAGCACGCTACCTTCTGCACTGCCATAGGCTCCTGAAACGATGGCAGTAGGATTGTCTTAGAGGGGCAAACCCGGATGTCCCAAGCCCGGGGAGGGGGCAGACCTGCCGTGGGCCCTACTGTCAGGGATCCATTCGTGGTGTAGGTTCTCGTCAAGAAAAGAAGAAGGATGTTGAGAGCTTTGTACCAAACATGCCCAGGAATCTGCAGAAAGCAAATTTGCCACAACTTGATGAAATACTTCACTCACACCTGCTGGGCATTGGAGCCCTCACTCACAAACTTGAAAATAAGTGCACTCACAGAGGAGCCTTCGTCCTACAGAATATATATGTACAAAGACAGACATTCAATCGGTCGATGGAACAAGAAGCAAGAAGCAATGATACAGACATTGCCTTCTGGGAGGAGCCCGCGTTCCATGGGATGTCAGCTTGGCGTGATTCATCCAGCAGCGCCTCACACCACTGCCCAAGCCTTGCAACAACCAGTGCCCATGGCCACAGGCATATCCTGAAAGTTTGGCTGATCCCTGGCCAGGACGTGGCACGATGGATGCCGTTGGCATCCTTGTGCAGGGGATAGGATGTGCGATGGCAGCGATGGTTGGGTTGGATAGGCGAACCCTCGTGTACAGGAAGCGCGACTGGAGGACGACTCGTTTGAGCCGGGAAGCGTCCCGTGCCAGCACACGAACATGCTTCAGCTGTGCAAGACTCTTGGCACTGGCGTGGCGAAAGTTCCACTTCAGTTGTAAGCATGCACGTGGCCAAAATTTCAGATCCGCGTTAGATCGGCGTTTACCTCGCGTCGCGACGCCTCGTCTCCGTTTCTGCTGCCTCGTTGCGTTGCGCCTGTTTGTCTCTGCGTGCTGTGTCTCTCCGTGTGTCCGCACGCCCACTTACGCTCCCTGTCCGCAGAGGCAAAGAGGACGGTGTGAACGATTAAAAGTGGCTACTTGCAAGTGCAAAAACGGACATTACGACATTATTATTACATCCGCCGGACAAATAGTTGTCATGCTAGTCCTGCCCGTCAAATTGGCGGGAGCTGCAACTTGCTCAAGCTTCAGCAGCTACACCTGCGTTGGCTGGGCTCTTGAACACACGCACCACAGCGGCAGGGCCCTTGTTCCAGCCTGCAGTCATGCCACATTGAGTGCAAAGCATATTTGCAAAAAACAGGAGGCCAAGAAAGTGTGTGAAAAGAGATGCACGAGCTAGGAATTAACATAGTGCTATTACTTATATTGCCATCACATCCTGCACTTTTGCCATTTGGGACCCATTTTTATCTGCTCCTGTTCAATTATCTGCTGGTGTTAATTTCATTCAGGAACACTGATCTGTATCAGGTGATCACAAGTGCTTGAGTCTGGAATTAATGTAGCTCAATGATCTAATCTGCATCAGACACCCAGCACTTTTGCCATTTGCCACACATTTTCATCACTCTTGTTCAATGATCCACTGGTGTCATTTTGCATTCAATAGCACTGATCTGCATCGGGCGATCACAGTTTCACATCCTTCATATGTCACTCACCTTATGTCATTCACCAAGGGCACTATTTTCTTGTCAATTTCTAGGAAGTTACAATGCCTTTGCCTCATATTTATGCACAATTCCTTCTGTCAGACCCTCAAGCGCACATACTACCACGGCAGGGACATGGAGGATGAGTATTTGGAGAGCATTGGATACACCCCCCAGGGTAGGTGCTGCGTGGTGCAGTGTGTCTTGTAAAGTTATCTCTCTGCTCCCAGTAAAACTTGGTACATGGATGAGCAAAAAGTATGGTGCGAACTGGGTCCAAACACTCGTATAGGAAGCTGACTTTACTGTCAGTTGAGGTGCTGATGGGGGAAGCGCAGGGTACAAGGGAGGTGGGGTTGTGAGCCAAAATTGTTGGTGGCATGGCAATGCTTCAAGGTGGTGCATGTAGTGAGTGGGATTGACAACAGACCTCAAACAAATGCACTGCAAGAGTTGTGGCAACCTGTATGGAGGCAAAAGCAACTAGCATTGGAACAGATGACTACCAAGGGTAGTGTGGATAGTGATGGTGAGCTCTATGTACAGGTGTGCAGTTTGGTGGCAGTCTACTATCACACAGGCACCCTTTCTGCCCTCTTGTAGGACCTGTCACCACCCATCTACCTGATTTCTTGGTTGGAGTCCTACATTTCCCACACTTTAATCCATGTCCGTGGGTTGTATCATGTGATCATGCCAGTGATACCATGAGGGCTTCTGGCATTGGTGTAAACCTACCTACTAGCTGCTCGACAATGTTGTTAGGTTGTTGGTCTCTTAGATTTTGCTACCACTCTAACGTAGATGGATAACCATATGGTGTGTGCACATAGGCTCTCTGGGTGCTTTGGCTCTGGGTGGTTCTTGGCACATCAACAAAGTTTGGGTCAATCTGCGCAATTCATGACAGGTTGCCTGCGGAGAGTTGATATCGCTATGCACAATGCCTCGGTGTCATATAGCAAGTGCAAAGGAACTTTTTTCTAACCTTCAGTACAGGCATATACCATGGATTGGCTGTGTTGCGTGGCATGGCTCAAGGGAACGGTAGGGGCAACAGCAGTAGATATGGGGAGGATTGCAGGGATGGGCATTCGTGGCGATATAGTGAGCACATGCGAACCACAATGTGTATGGGCGAGGATTGCACATCACAAGCAGAGTGCATCGCGGGGGCATAAATGCAATGCTGGCTCACCTCATGCGCAGTTTTGAGAAACTCTGGATTTTCTCACGTCGTATTTCTCCACACCATCGTTGCTTTTCTGTACAAGAAGAAAGCAATTGCCAGTGATGCAATCTACCTGTGGTCAACATTAGTTGCGAATGCATAAACAAAAATAAGGAGAAGTGGGGTTGCAACTGCTTTGCAGCCACATACACAAGTCCAAGCAATATGCAAGAGAGAATGCTTGCAGGCTGAAGTGTCTTTGCTTTGTTGCAGCTCTGTACAAATGGTTGGACGACCAGCACCTATTCACTACAAGAACCAAGAATGGGAAGCAGTCAAAAGACTACCGCATCCAGAAGCGGATTGGTGGTGTACATCGCCATGTTGGGTATGCAAGGTAAAAAGGGAGCAACAATCAATGGTTGATTACAACAGGGCTTGTTGCATTTACTTTCCAGTTCACAAGCCAATTGACCACTTTTTATACTTTTTGAATAATTTCGGCACGTCAAAAGGTACATAAGGTTATCATTGTGGTGCGCAGGTTGATGGTCGCCATCCACAGGGCCATGGACGGCAATGATGATGCCAATTTCAATTGGCCATCCTTCGCAACAGAATTTCTCAATGTGGAGAGACCAGTGCCATGGGGGAGCTGGCTGCAGCAACTGTACCTTGGCACACTCCGAGCCTTCTTCCATGAGGGTGCTGTCGGGGCCCATGTCCCCACGGTGGGAGGAGCACGAGTCAGGAGTTCATCTGCACAAAAGAGGAAAGCCCCGCCATGCCATCACAACGCAACAGCAAGAAAGAAGAGAAGCATGGCACGAGGTGCTTTTTGTTGTTGAACTCTATGCAAGTGGCGAATAGCAGTGCTTGCGCATGAGCTTCCTTGCAATTGTTCATCTGTATTCAATGGGCTATGGTGTTCCACTGTTGCATATTGCATTCATATTTATAAAGATCGTGAGGGAAACAGCTCTCCCAAGTGAGATACATGCCCTTGTGCGACAACCAATAAGTCACTTTCCTTTGTGAGTTTCAATCATAGCATCTAGCAAGGCAGCGCATTGGATTGGGGTGAAAACGCATTGGGTTGAACATCAACCCAATGCACAGTTACCGTCTAACATGTTCCCAGGCTCAACAATAGCAATGCACCTTGTTGAACAATTGCTTCAACTTGCCGCCTAATCTAAATTGCAGTTGAAAGCAAATATTGTGTTTCTACTTTGGGGCAGCATTCACTGCATGCGAACCTACATTTGATTGGAATGAACTTGGGACAGTCTTCAAAATGCATGTCTAAAGATGTGCCATCAGCCTTCAAATAGAAAAATGACAGCACGGTCAAATTGGGAGATTCTATGTGCTAAAGGCCGTGTGTATTTGCAACTTGCCGCAGATTGCAAGTGCAGCAGCTGTCTAGCAATTGCGTGTGATTCAATAACTCTGCCTTGATCCATGGCATTCTCTCTCTCATGTGTGCAAATTGCTCACATTGGCCAACACACATGCTCTAGAAAAGTGCCCAATCAGCAATGTGGCAATCCCAATGTCGACTTGCAGTGTGTCCAATACTTTCCAACAAACACGTCAAGTTCACACCTCATCTTGCTGCCTTGTTAT